AATCCAAAATATCTACACAAAAAACATTCTTTTCTTGATCACAACTGTCAAAAACTTGAAGAAAGAACACTGTGTATGGATTATTAATTAATATCATTTTATTTCAGATCTTCAGAGTGCATATACATAGAACATCTTCAAGAAATAAAATACTATTGAGGAGTGCAAAATTTTCCTTTGCCGTTTAATAGATGTCGTTGAACTAAGACGCATGTGAATACACATAGAGGTTAGATGAAGGAAATACATTTTGAATATACAAAACACTTATGATTGACAAACATACTTATATATTCGTTGATAATAATATCTTACAAATTGCATTCTGATTTCCTGACGATAATGTGAATCCATGTCGTAGTCACGCTCTAAATTCATTAATTATTAATATATATACTTCTATCTAGTGTTTAGCAATACCATACTTCATTTTTCATCTTCTGCCATTCAGTTCTTTCCTGCTTTTCACGTTGCTTATGATATGTTCACAAGTTTAGTCAAAATTTCGAAACTATGATGCCAATAGAAGATCTATCAGACAATGCTAGAAATGTTAATTCAACCTTAATTTTACCTAATTATACTTCACTCTATCCCTGGCTTATTGAATACAAAATATTTTTCAATAAAAATTATTTAGATTGTAACATTAGTATCTTTTGTTCTAGAACCTTTTCTTTGCTAAATTTACTTGAAAGTATGAAGGGTACTGGAAGAACAAAACATTTATTATGAAACTGAACGAAAATATGCTTACAATGCATCATAATAATATTAATCAGAAAAATGAAGAATAAGTTTGTACAAGATATCCAGCAGCAATATATAAGAAGCTGCCAAAAAGTTAGACAGGTTATCAGCATGTCATCGTTTATAGAAATAGTAATACTGAGGTAGCTATGATTTCAAGTCGTACGACTTTTTACTATTTCAATTTTCCAATCATAAAACCCGAAGTTATAACTTTTTGCATAGATATCATGCAACAATCAAAATCAAATATGCTTTTTAAAGAATCAACTGCGGTTCGTAATATCTTGATTTTATCATCTATAGTTTACATGCAAGAATTAGTGTAAACGAACTTCTGTATTGGTTTCGGCATAAATAGATATATCACCGATACAGCTGTTTTTAAATATATGATGAATTTAAACACGTCTATATCCTGTTAGATTCTAATATTTTAGCATTCCTTTGAATTAATGCAGTGTAATGTATTACCAAAAAGCATAACGAATATTCTAGTGAAATTCATGCTATACCAATAAGCTTAAATTTTATCACATGCTGTGTTAAATAGGTATAAGAAAGATATATCTTTTATCCATTACATTGTAGAACAATACTTATCTAATTTTTCTATTTTCTACCGTAGGCATATATAGTAAAGTGCTATTTATTACATCAATGATTTTGGAAAACACTATTTAATGCGACTGTTGTATGTCAGCTATCTGATATCAAATTAAGAATCGTTTAACTCAGAAGAGACCGCCCATTATTCAGCAAATGCCAACATTAATTATATTTTAAAATAATACTTATTCGGTGAGAAACGAGACTTGAGTATTGTTCTCAATCGATTTAGTTATTTATTGTTCTCATGAATAGTATTCAACTGAATGTCAAGTTTTCATTAATATACATAAAATTAGTAGATTCAATACACAAATCGAGGTAAACGGTTCAAGAACGCATTCTGAAGTGACGAAAAACTGCATGAAAACGCGTTCATCATCATTCTTAATGTCTTTCATTATGCTTACCGGTGCAGAATATGTTTATACAATACTAGTGTTCTTTTTATAGAGGTCATTACTGAATTTGGTTGAAAGTTGTAAGCAATAAAGAGGTATGTAAATGTTACAGTTTTGACACTTAATTCAAAACAAAACTTTATTTCAAGTAACAAAAGAAAAAATATGCAGTTTTTTATTAATTGCATTTTATATATCTCATAATGAAGAACTGTTTAAAATAATAAATGAAATAA